CCAGGAAGCAGGGCCTCATCAGACACTGTATCTGTCAATTCCTTCATCTTGGACTTCCCAGCCTCTAGAACTGTGAGAAATAAATTATTCACAGTTATTTATAAGTCACCAGTCTATGGTATTTTTGTTATAGCAGCCCAAACATTCTAATACATCCAATCAACACATCCAAACCTCCATCATCTTCTCTCCAACAACATGCTTCTCTCTTCCAGCATTCCTCATTCGTATCAGTGATACTACCATTCTACCATCCTTTCAGACTCTCAGGCTAAAAATGTCAAGCAATCTTTGATATCCCCTCCCCTGGCCCCCACAGGCAAAACAGCAGCAGCTCTAGTCAATTCCTTCAAAACACACAACCATCAAAAAATAAAAAAAATAAAAAATAAAAATAAATTAAAAAAAAAAACCACACAACCATCCCCACTGACACTCCCTAATTATATCCTCTCACATGGACAGTACAATATCCCTCTGACTAATCTCTCTGCATCCTTACTTTCCCTTCATTAATTCTACAAACTCTCCTCATAATATTACACGAGCACTCTGCAAATCACTCTCTTACCTACACAAGCGATGGCCCTCCACAGCCCACAGAATTTAACCTGAACCCGAATGTAATTACATACATAATGTAATGCAACCAGCACAGTGAAAGCTACATTGGATATAGTCAATCTTTTCTCTCCCCCAACCTTTCTTCTGGCTTTCCACACTTATTTCCTACCCCTCCTCCTTTTTCCTCCAAACAAACTCACTCCTCCTCATCCCTCATAAAACCCTATGCTTTCTAGCCGTTCTTTACTTATGTTGTTCCCTTCTCTACAAATTCTAATACTGGAAAGAAGACCTTCATCCCCACAGGAAAAGGACTCCTGGGTCTACCCTTGATTTCTGAGAGCTGTCTGTCTCCCCCAGTGCAACTGCAAAGGGTTTCCCAGGCACCACAGAACAAGCTGACCTCACATTGGGGACTTCACCAATGCTTGCCCTTCCTCCATCTAGGAAAACACTGTTCTACCTTGGAGGTAATTCCTTGGTCTTTCCTCACAGTGAAGCTTAAATGTCACCTCCTCAGAGTCGACCTAGGCCATTACTCTATTTAAGCAGTCTCTTTCATGTGTCAAAATAACCAGAATTTTAAAAATTAAGCTATTTGTAACAGGCATGAAAGACAAAGAGTTACTATCTTCATTAATAACTTTACTACACAAAACATGAGCAGAAAAGTAGTGTGAGAGGCTTTGAAGATAGACCTATTTGGGTTCACATTCCGGCACTGCTACTCCTCAGACTTGGACAGGCCACTAACAGCTCTGAGCTTCAATTTTCTCATCTATAAAATGAGCATACCACTCTCTAGGTCACAAGGTTACTGTGAGGGTTATAGACTGATGTCGGACACACCTGGAACAGACAATATTTCAACAGTTCGATAATGTTAAATAGCATTCCTACTGATAGACAAAATTACCAGGCATATAATTTTTTAAATATGCAAAGACAAGGAACATCCAATTTACCGGAGAAAATAAATCTGGCAAACAAATATCTGATAAATATACCTTAATAGAAGTAAAACAAGTACATAGTAAAACAAACTGCAATCAGCACAACATACCCAAGCATGCGGGCGCACACAGGATTCTGATACCAACTGCAATGTGTGTGTTCTTTTAAAACCCAACCGAGCAATTCTGCACCACCAGCTGGGTGCCCCACAATGCAACGCAATTCTCACACCACCTGCCTGGAGCTGCTGTCAGATCCCACAGGTTAAAGGCTCAGTCCTTGTAAGACTGTGCCCACCTCCCAGGTCAGAGGCCAGTCACAAGCCCAAACTGTCACCCGTGCTTCTGACTCACTGGCTATACATTAGAGGTCCCCTCATCTCATCTTTGAGCTCAATTAATTTGCGAGAATGGCTCACAGAACTCAGAGAAATATTTTACTTGAAAGATTACTGGTTTATTATAAAAGGACGTAACTCAGGAATAGCCAGAGGGAAGAGAAGCACAGGGCAAGGTATGGGTAAAGGGCATAGAGCTACCACGGTCTCTGAGCATGCCACTATCCCTGAATCTCTACCTATTCACCAACCCAAATCCCCTCTGAACCCCATCCTTTTGGGTTTTCAAAGGTCTCATTACATAGGCATAACTGATTAAATTCATTCAACCTCCAGAAACTTTCGGCTCCACAGAGGTCGGGGTGGGACTGAAAGTCCAGCCCTCTCATCACACAATTGATTCCTCTAGTCACCAGCTTCCCTTCTTGGATGAAATAGGAGATTTTAAACAGTTACCATCAGCGTAACAAGACACCTTTATTGCTCTCATCAAAAGAAATTTCAAAGGTTTAGGAGCTCTGTGCCAGGAAAAGGGGACAAAGACCAATAAGCACTTCTTATTATAAATCACAGTATCACAGCACAATTGTGATTTTATCATGACACCCAATACTCACACTCTTATACATGCAGATGGAATTTGATTTTTGTATTTGATGTAATTTGAACTTTGTATTAAAAATCCATTAAACTATTCCTTTGAATCAGAAATCTCATCCCTAGGACTTTATTCTAAATAATCTCAGATACATAAGGGATACATGAAATGTTTCTCTCTGCATTATTTATAACAGTGAAAAATATAAAGCAAAAGCATAATGGTAATTATTAAAAGTTTCCAGTTACTGAGTGCTTCTTAGTAATCAAATTGGGTTAAGTACATTGCACACAGCTGTCTATATTTAGTCTTCATAACAATCTTTGAAGTAGGTATTACTATAAAATCCTCATTTACAAAGAAACTGAGGCTTAGAGACAGTAAGTGAGTAATCCAGAGTCACAGGTAACAGGGCCAAAACCAAACCTGGGACAATCCGATTCCAGTGCCAAGATCTTAACCACTGAACTAGAGGGTTTATACTCCATGGACCAGGTTGCACCCCCTCCTTTTTTTTTTTTAATTTTATTTATTTATTTATTTGAGAGAGAGAGAGAGCGCGCACACAAGCAGGGGAAGCAGAAGAGGGAGAATAAGAAACAGGCGCTCTGCTGAGTGAGAGCCCAATGCAGGACTCAATCCCAGGACCCTGGGATCATGACCTGAGCTGAAGGCAGACGCTTAACCAAGTGAGCATACCACCGAACATACCACTTTCTAAAGGTTATGAAAACTATGTAATCATATAGGAAAACGCTTCTGATTAAATAATGCTGATTATATCTGTGTTAAAGCTCCGGTTGCAGGAAAAATTTAATTCCACTGATTTAATCAATGGAGTAATTTAATTCCACTAAACTGCAAGGAAAGACCTGGAAGGATACACACCAAAATGTTAGCAGTATTTACAAACAGCAGTGGATGGTGAGATTACTTTTTCTTACTTTTTTCTATTATCCAAATTATCTGTAACATGCACTTATTTTTATTTTCATAAGGACAAACAAACAAATGTGATTATCATTCTACCTGGGTTTTAGTAGTTTCACAATTATGAAAGGGGGCTGAGGAGATTAAAGAAGACCTGTATTCTATTTCTCAAGTATTGGGCTAAAGTTTCTTCGTTTTGAAGACAGAATTCAAGGTTCATCCTGTTGGTGAGAAAAAACTGCTATTCACCTTTATGATATATACTGTTTTACAAAAGTGGCACACCTCTTAGTAAACCATAGCTACACACATTATAGCACATTGTTTAGAATGGAAGCTCTAGAATCTAAATAATTAAAATCCAAAGCAAAAGCTATCACTAACTTCTCTGTGTAACCTTGGACAAACTCTCAAGACTTCAGTTAATATCACCTACCTCAAAGGTTGTCCTGAGCATCAAATGAAATAATGAATGTAAATTTTTCAGCACAGTCCCTGCCTGGGGTAAGCACTTAATATATATTCATACCTATTATTCACAAGTAGAGACACCCTTCCAAAAATATCAGATCTAGGGACACCTGGGTGGCTCAGTCGGTTGCGCCACGGTCTTCAGCCCCAGGGTTCTGAGATCAAGTCCCATAATAGGCTCCTTGCTCCGCTGAGCCTGCTTCTCTCTCCACCTCTGCCTGCTTGTGCGTGCCCTCTCTCTCTCTCTCTCTCTGACAAATAAATAAATAAATAAAATCTTAAAAAAAAAATCAGATCTAGTACATAGGAAGTCATCAGACAAGGAAAAAGGTAAATGTTCTCTTACTGTTTCCATTGTTCTGATAATAGACACTAGATCTTTCAGAGATTACATATAACTTGCAGAAGAAATGGTAAAAGTCATGCAATTGTCATACTGTGAGGAGTTTACTACATGTCCCTCCTACCAATGAGAGTACTAGATGGACTCCTCTTCCCCCCACCTTCATCAATTACCCCTCCTTAGCTAAGTGGCAGCCTACCCCAGTCCTGGGCTCAACCTGGGAGCCTGGAAACCTGGATTCTTTCCCATCTCCAGGAACAACCTGTTCTATGACCTTGGGGAAAATTAATTCAGTTACTTAGTTCTTCCACTTCCTCTTCCCTGCCAAAGCAAAAATAGTAATAGTAGCAGCAGTAGTAGTAGTAGAAGTAGTAAAGAAAAGGGGGGGGGGGTTAAATACCGGTGCCTGTAGTTAATGGCCCAGCTCCATACAAACTGGGACAACACCTAGGGCCAAGGTTGGGAAAGTAAGGATGGAGAACTGAGAAAAGTAGGCGTTCCCTGGGCACCACCCTTCCACCCTCTGCCCTTCCAGACTGCGGCATGCCCTCTCACCCATCTCGAGGGCTGTGAGGGGATGCCTCTCAAGGGTTGTACAGTCACAAAAATAGAGCGAGGAGGAAACCACAGTCAATCCCTAAAGTAGGTAGGCTCCAGAAAGCAGGGCAGGAATTACAACAAGATACAAGGAGATCAGCCTGCCGGCCGCTGTCCACACGAGCGGGACGGCACTCCTTGCGAGGCCCCCACAGGCCTGGGAGTCTGGGTTGCACCAGGAGCAGACAGGGCAGCCCCCAGCTCACCATACTCCTGAGGCTCCGGGTCTGGCTGGAAAGTGAAGTGAGCCACATGCCTCCTCTGCGCCGCAAACCCAGTGGCCGAGTCGGGCTGCACCAAGCCCCGCAGCAGCCCCGCGCCTCGAAGCCAACGCCACTGTCCTTCTGCCCCAGCCGCTCGCAGCCTCAACAGTCCGCCGGCAGCCGCCGCCAACGCCGCCATCCCCACTTGCAAAACGGACTTGCAAGCAACGCCGCCGCACACTGCCGGCAGAAGGGGCGGAGCACAGAGACGACTTCCATACTGGTGGACCCAAGGGGAGGACTCATGAAGCGGACCAATCGGAGCTAGGAATTCGGGGGTGGGGAAGGAGACGAGGGGAGGCCAGAGGCCTTTGCCTGTAGTGCGCATGCGGAAGAGGAGCTGGGGCGGGGGCGAGCGAGCAGGTGAGCTCCAATGAAATTCTTCCTGGAGGTGGAGCCTCACCAAGTCACTGCAGGGTCCCAAGGCGGGCGGACGCGGGTCCGTAATGTTAAACACTCTAATCCCGGAGTTGCTCTTTACTGATGTCATTTGCATTGTTACCTCCTTTTTCATTTTGAGATTTATACTTTCTTTTAAAATGTAACCCTTTTTTATCCGCTCCTATTCTTGTGTATTAATTTATAAGTAAAAGATGGAAAGGGTTACTGATTGGCATTGGTCGTTGGTTTGGGTTTTCAAAAAACTGGGAATCACTGCTCAGTTTGCGCTCTTTATTCAGAGCCTCTTTGAATGCTTACTAAGCATGTAAACATTTTTACTGCTTTTGTTTTTCAGGATTTAGAGGAGAGTTAGAAAGGTAAACTCAGATTTCATCCTGCAAATTCATTTAAAAGGAATTCAGATGCATTTTTGCCCAGGTGCCGTAAAAAATGACCTAACCTGCTTACTATAGCTTAGAAACCCGGAGATTCCAATCGTTAACTTACGTTTATAATAATCAATTTCAAAACTTTTAGTTTTAAAAATCCAAATGCTTAAAAGGATAACTTCCCTGCTCATGAATTTAAAAAATCACAGTAAAATATGACAGACAAAAGTGGAAAGTGCTTCCATGAGATGAAGAGGAGAGGGGGGAAGGTCAGGCCCTAAACAGAATTGGGAGAGGAGTGGGAGAAAATGAAGAGAAGGAAGAGGGGGGAAAAATGTTCTTCTGTTATTCTTAGCCTCACAACCTATGTTTGCTTTTACAAGGGAGGCAAGGGAGGAGAGCGAAGAAATGGGATGAGGACAAAGGCCAGGCGATGCACCAACCTCCTATTTTCTGATTAGGACTGAGAGACAGAAATTTAAAACTGCTAAAGAGAGAACCAGAATTATATCCATCATCCCTACTCCCACACCAATATATCCATTATTCCTCTTCCTACTCTTAGACCCACGAGGTACTTGGTGCTGGATGTGGAGCCTGGTTAAGATTCTCTCTCTCCCTTTCCCTCTACTCCTCCTTCCCCTCCCTCCCTCGCTAAATAATAACAACAATAATAATAATAATAAAAGAATGTCATAGTTGGTAGAGAAAGGAAACAAATTACATAACTACAATCCAATGTCGTAGGGGCTCTAAAACAGTGTGAACAAAGTGAACCACGCAGAGCAGTAAGCTCTGTTTTTAGAAGTCAAGAATGCTTCTAGAAGTGGGGCGCCTGGGTGGCTCAGTGGGTTAAAGCCTCTGCCTTCTGCTCAGGTCATGATCCCAGGGTCCTGGGATTGAGCCCCACATCGGGCTCTCTGCTCAGCAGGGAGCCTGCTTCCCTCTCTTCTCCTCTCTCCTCCCTCTCCTTCTCTCTCTGCCTGCTTCTCTGCCTACTTGTGATCTGTCTGTCAAATAAATAAATAAGTAAAATCTTTTTTAAAAAAAGAATGCTTTTAGAAGTAATGCTGAGCTGGACCTAAAAGATGAGTAGAAATTATCAGGCAAACAAGGGAGGGGAAAGTATCCTAAACAAACACACACACACACACACACACACACACACACACACACACAGGTTAACAGAGCCAGAAGGAACATGGTACATTCCAAGAAGAGAAAAAATGGGCTGGTAGCTGCTAGACTTGGGGTATAGGGATTGACAGGAATCAGAAAGATCAATTACAGGGAGATTTTCAAGGTCTTCATATGTTAGTCTAAGAAGAGTAGACTTCCAACTACATGGAGTCAGGAACAACAAAGAGAACACCTAATAGATTTGTCTACCAGGCAAATTATTATTGGGGGGAGGTTGAAATTTTCCCTATCCGCCCCCCATACCATTTGCCTGGTAACCAAGGAAATGTCTGTTGTTAAAGTGGGATCAACCCTGGCTACATTTCATTGATAGAAGCTTGGGAGACTATCATTTTCTGTGAATTTTAGAAGCATTATTTAGAAAGATAGGGGGGTATCTTTAAGTGTCACTGAGAGATGCCCAAAAAAAAAAAAAAGAAAAGAAAAAAACAAGAGTTTTCAGAAGTCTGGTAGACAAGAAAAATATGACTACATTTGAGTTCCTGATTCTATTTGTTTCTAAGGCCTAAGTGCGTTCTGGTCCTGGGTTTCTATGAGACTACGAGACTCCATGATAGCCTTAAAATAGATTCTCCTCTTAGCTTAAGTTACATCTAATTGCATTTCTGCAACCTTAACCTCACTGAACACCTTAAGAACCCATAACAGTGGAGAGCATACAAAACGAAGTTGCTCATTGTTCTTCAGAATGACTCTTGGCTTATTCTCTGTCACTGAGCTTCAGTATTTGTACAACCTATGCCCGTTTGAACTCAGTTTGTTTTTGGACACCGTTCATCTATAACAACATAATATTTTGTAGTCTTATATCTTATGGTCCTGACCCCTGCTCCCATTCAAACTCAACCAGAGACATCAGGGACATGAAGTCACCAAGGGTTCACATTCTTGCTTTAGAATTTTGAAGTAGATTGTAATGCTGGTGGCAGAAACAATGATCTGAGAAAAGAATTTGAGTTTTAAAGACTAGTTTCTAAGAATTAAGCCTGAAACCTGGAACCTGAATGGCTTAGGGCACAAAATTCGTGATTGAAACATAATATTGTAAATAGCATACTAATTGAAGAGCCAGGTTTTCCCACCTTCCATGGAGGCAGAGCCATAGCACACAAAAGAACCGTAGGTGTCCTTCTTTACAGATAGGTCTAAGAGTATCACAGAGTCCTCACATTCCCCCACCATGGCATGGCATTTGGAACAAAGGAATGCTTCTCTTATACAGCCAAGAGAGATGCAGGTATGGCAACAAGTTCCATAGAACTTAAGAAGGCCCAGTAGTCAGAATGATAAGGGATTTGTATCTGTAATATACTTTTTAAAAATTCTTAAACTTGATAATAAGAGGATAAATTACCAAATTAAAAAAAATAAACAAAGAATGCAACCATTGGTGGTGGGAATGCAAAACGGTGCAGCTGCTTTGGAAGATTTGCAAAACTTTGAAACTTGCAAAACTAGAAATACTCTAGCCATATGATCCAGCAGTCATGCTCCTTGCTATTTACGCAAAGGAACTGAAAATTTATACCCACAAAAAATTGCCTACAAGGGTTTATTGAAGCTTGATTCATAATTGCCCAAATTTGAAAGGAACCACGATGTCCTTCAGTACATGGAAAAGTAATTTGACTGGAAAAGTAAACTGTGGTATATCCAGATAATGCACTAGTATTTGGCACTAAAAAGAAATGAGCTAACAAGTCATGAAAAAACATGAAGGAAACTTAGATGCGTATTACTAAGTGAAAGAAGTCAGTCACAAAAGACCATGTAGTATACAATTCCATTTATATGAAATTTCCAGAACAGGCAAATCAGGGGAAACAGAAAGTAGATTAATGGTTGCCAGGAGCTAGGGAAAAGGAGTAATGGGGAATGGTTGCTATTAGGTATGCAGTTTCTTTTGAGGTAATGAAAATATTCTAAAATTAAATAACAGTGATGGTCACACAATTTTGTGAATGTACTGAAAACCACTGAATTTACACTAAAAGTCAATTTAATACCATATAAATTATATTTCAGCAAGGCTGTTGTTCAAAAATCAAATTATAGAAGAATAATAAAAGTTACATTTGTCCACCTAAATATGTGGTTCAGGAGATTCATTCCCCTACAGCATGTGTTTGACAACGTGTATGTTAGTTCACAGACTCTGGTCCAGATTCAGAACTGGAGATACTTAGATAGAAGAGCTCTAGGATTTTCCTTGCTTTGCTGCTTACCACATCAAAGAATCCTGTTGGTATCATTCTGGAAACAAAATCCAGAATATAGTCAAAGCCAATGTGTTCGGTCCCTAGGGCTGCTGTAACCAAGTACCACAAACTGGGGACAGAAATTTATTGTCACCCAGGTCTGGGGCTAGAAATCCAAGATGAAAGTGTTGGCAGAGTCGTACTCTGAAAGCTGAAGGGGAATCCTTCCTTGTCTCTTCCTAGCTTCTGGTGTTTTACCAACCGTCTTTGATGTTCTTTGGCTTGCAGCTGCATAAATCCAATCTCTACCTTTGTCTTCACAAGATGTTCTTGCTGTTCTTCTTTTCTTGTCTCCGGTATCTTCACACAACCATCTTAGAAGGACACATCCAGTCTTATTAGATTATGAGCTCACCCTACTCCAGTATGATCTCATCTTAACTAATTATGTCTACAACAACACTTTTTCCACATTAAGCCATGTTCTGAAGTACTAGGTGTGAAATACTGGAGGTTAGATTCAACATATCTTTTGGGGGATGGGCACAATTCAATCCTTGACAGCCAGAGATTCAGTGGCAGAACAGACACTGAATGGATGCTTCTAATCAACTTTCTGAAGATGCCTGCCTTGTTAAAGAGTTTTTATCAGTTGTTTCATAGATTTCTTCCAATATGAAATTCTGTGATTTGGAGTAGAGTTAAAGAAACTGGAGATATTTGGTCTATGTAAGACTTTTAAAGTGATATATGAATTCTCCTTAAATGTTTGAAGGTGCCCTTGTAGAAAAAGGATTAAATGTTCTGTTTGGTTCTGACAAGAAAAATAAGAAACTGAAGAAGCAAACTCCAGTTCAATATAATGTACATGAAATATATAAAGGAGATTGCCTTGGGATGTGATGAATTCTCTCTCATTAAAAATAGATAAGTACAGGATGGAAGAACATTATTGGAGGAGACTCTTGGGAGGACTTAGACTTCGTTTAGGAGTTGTTTAGGG